TTCTGAAAGCATAGCCTAAGTTATACTGATTAAAAATTGTTTTTATGAATAAACAAAATTACAGACCATGTATGGTGCCACAGTGCATTCTGTGCATTCCATAGATGCCTGGGTGGTCTTTCAGAGAACTAACATGCTGCTCCTGAGCAGGATCATATCCAGGCAAAAGTGACCCAAGTTTACAAATATACAAGCAGGTGATGGACAACAGGTTGGGTAGCAACAGCTGCAGCACAGCCCTAGCTCTCTGAGGGGTTGGTAATTGTAAACATGATTTGTCAACAGAGCAAACGCAATGAGGGGCAGGAATCTGTGGATAAGCTTATGTACTGCTCCTCCACTAGAATATCTTCTCTTTCATTTTGTAACAGGATAATACCCATAGAAAGGCAAGGGTTGATGTTCCCTGCCCCACTCCAAGGAAGGGTAGAACTGAGCAAGGAGAACCTAGGGAAAACTGGGAGATGGAAAGAAGAATGCAAAGTGGAGGAGACCTGGAGGAGGCCTGTTGAGCAGAGACATGTGAAGAAGCCACTCTGGCAGCTCAGCCTTGTATTTGCCACAGGGATTGTAGGACATGGAAGGTACACTTGGAAGAGACAGAGACAGAGGCGTGGGTGAGGGACCTGTGGGTAGGTGACAGTGGCAGCCTTTGTCTTGACTTGGAATTTGATTTTGCTCTTTTCCATCTAGACTAGCCTGACCTCTCTTGCCCCTTTCCTGTGGGTCCCCACTCCCCAACCCCCAAAAAGAGCCTTAGACATGTGGCATGATTTTTAGCCTCATTGATTCTGCTTTGGGCAAACCCTAGGCATTTACCAACAGGCAATGCAGGACTTTTGTGTGTTTAACTGGAAATTATTTTAACTTATTCTTTTAGTTCTCTTTCTTGCTTATCACACTAATTGATTTAAAGTTCTTTTTAATTGACAGTCTTACTAAAAGGACTTTTTTTTGAAGTAGAAGTGTGGGTTTGGGATTTCTGGTGTGCTCCTCAATCTAACACTTTCCGATTGACTTTCAGTGAGTTCTTTCTTCCAAAATTAGTGTAACTTGCAGCTTATTGATTTTACTTTTCTTTTCAATGAACCATCTGTAGCTTTACTGATTTTTTCAAAAATTTTCTACTTTCCATTTCTTTTACTTTCTAATTTCTATTATTTCTTTTTTTCTTTAATTTGGCCTCAGTTTATTTCTCCACTTTTAGTTATTTGATGCTATTCACAATGGCTCCTACTGGGTGAGTGAGCTAAGGGGTCTAGATGAATAGGTTTTGTATCACCTTCCACTGATTTTTTTCTCCCCAACTTGGAAAGTGAACTCTCCAAGTTCACTAGGTGGGGGTGGAGGGAAGGTCTGGCCTGTGCTAAATTCCTCTGTAGAGGCAGAATGATCACAGAGCAGGTTTTCTGTGATCCAAGCAGACCTGGTAAAGGAGAAGCCTGGAGCCTTTGGTAGCGTTCTTTGGCTTTTATTGAGTGTTTACATGCAGGGGAACCCAAGAGGCCATGAAGCCTTCAAGCCCCCAGCAACTCTTCACTCTGGGCTTCTTACTCTCCTTCTTTCTCCTGCCTGTTCTCCTGCTGCTGCTTCTTTCCTATCTCTATACTCCCATGGCCCACATAAGGAAACAACACAGCTTACAACAATGTAACAACTGCAGATGCCCCATCAGGCATGGCAATCCTAATGGTGGGAGGGCAGAAAAGCCTGAAAACCGTTTACCCTATGCTGTTCTACCTCACTACCTCTCACCTGTTGGTCTGTTGCACTTTAAACTTACATTAAAACTGTACATTAAAACTGTGTTTCCTGCTTTGCAAAGTGCAGCAAAAGGCTTCATATTTCTTTCAAAACTATCTTTGCTCCTGCATTAGTTAGCATATGTTCTCATCACAATAAAAGAACTATGTGAAAAGACATGTCAGGTTAGCCAAAGTACCTCCTTTTAGCGACTTTAAACTACAACAGTTAAGTTAAACAAAGCTTAATGAAAAGTCAAGCATTCTTTTCCCTCACTTTACTCCTTCTCCACCGTGTGCTTTACTCTCCAAGTTCACTCTCTGAGCCTCCCTATAGTACTATAGACAGTACTAAAAGTATTATCTAACAAAACTCTCTGTGCCCCTTAGTGGGTAGTAATAGCAAAGATAAACATCTGCTGGTAGCTAAGGGCTGTTACCACTCTTTGCAGAAGATAAACCCTGTAATTTATACTACCTATATTTCCAGGTGCTTTTGCAGACCTGGGAACGGGAAGACAGACTGTCATTGCCTTCATCTCCCACAATTCTTAATATTTCTTCTCCCATAATCAAAGCACCCCACCATTTGGGAAAGCTGAATTCTCAGCTTCAGCTAAAATTCCTTGTTGACTCCCTCAGTGATTGTGGGGGTTTTAGCTCATTTAGTGGAGCTAAAACTCTATCATTTGCTCAGTTGAACAATGGTGTGAAACAAAGTAAATAAGAAGGGAAGCCACTATTGTTGCTGTGGAAACCAGGCACAAGCCTAACAGGGAGCTCCTGAGAGTATTCAGGAGTGTGGTAATGATAAGGGGATAAGAAGAGGTAAGAGACCAATATCTACTATAGGAATCTGCATGTATACACATAGCACAGGTGCGTACAAACACATTGTGATTAATAATGTTTTCTTTCAACTAAAAAACTCTTGTGGTGAAGCGGGACCCCTGCCCCAGTGACCCGCTGGGGAAATGGTGTTTTTCCCAGGCCCAGGAAAACATGACACTCTTGGGTTGACCAAGGAGGTGATAAAAAACTATGGGAGTATAAGGAAGATCAGGGCACCAAACATGATGGGCTATTTCTGTGGGAAGTTCACTATGGTTAACAGCGTTTGTTTAGTTTGCCAGAGAAAGGCTGCCTAGAGATGAAAGAGTAGAAAGGGCTTTGGGGGTAAATACCCTCATTTTGATCACTGATCACATGTTTAATCTCTGGTTTTCAAAAACAAAATGCATATTATAGATTTAATTTGTGTCTCTGTTCAATTGACTTCAAGAAATTACAGGCAGCGCAATCCCAGGATTTTTGCCTTACAGTAGCAGGACAAACAGAAGCAGACAGGACACCTCTGAAATGGACGGGCCAATGAAAGCGGTTGCCTCACCAGAAAACCATCAGCAGAGACCAAATGCCTTAGTCTTAAGAAGCCCAGGAAAACAGGTTATAAAAGGGAGTCCGTGCAGACCTGTGCTATCTTTACTACCTGCTCCCTGGTAAATAAATTCCACTTTCGTATTCTGCACTGTGTCAGGTGAATTCTTTCATGTCGTGTGGTCTCCTCAAGCATCCTGAGTCATCATTATATTCCACTAGTGCAATGACTTCCTCATATAATAAACTGCTTTCTAGAGGTTCAGAGTTTGGCTTTCCAAGCAGTAATAAACACCTGGTTTGGCTATTTGCATTAGGTGATGCTAGTAGGTAATCATATTGTAACATGGGGGTTCCGAAGAAAGGGGGAGGTTCCAGGTTCCCTGCCCCACCCAAAAGGAGGGTAGAGCTAAGCAGAGAGAAGAGGCTGCAGAGGAGACTGAGGAAGGAAGGAAGCAGGGTGGAGCCAGGAGACCTGGAGGAGGCGCGTGGAGACTAGAGACGAGGGGAGAAACTGTGCTTGTCTTCTGGTCCTAGACTGGGTGACACAGATGTAGGTGAGACCCGTGGGGAGGTGACAATGGCAGCTTTTATCTTGATTTTGATTTTGCTGTTTTTCTCCCAAAGTTGTGTGTTTGTGACCCTTTTCTGTGGGTCCCTACTGGAAGGTGCTTCTGACTTGTGGTAGCTTTTTTTTAAAAGATATATTTATTTATTTATACAAGCACTGGGTACAGTCAGAAGCGCGGGAGGGCGAGAGAATCCACCAGAGCCAGAGCAGGGAGCAGAGCAGGCAGAAGGACCGAAGTACACTGCTGAGGGGAGCAGCGGGCGGCAGGAGAGGTCTGCGCGCCATGCGGGACCCTCCTCTGGTGGCCGGGGAGCAGCCGGGGATCGAACCAGCGTTGCGGAGGCTGCAGGCAGCTTCGCAACCCAGCGCTCAACCGCTGCGCCACCGGGGAGGCCCTCTGTTTATTTTTTTAAAGATTTGTTTATTTATACAAGAACCCGGGTACAGGTCAGAAGTGGGAGAGGGTGAGAGGATTCACCAGAGACAGAGTGGGGAACAGAACAGGCAGACTGATGAAATACACTGCTGAGGGGAGCAGCGGGGAGACAGGAGAGGTCTGCGCAGCATGTGGGACCCTTGCCAGCGGCTGGGGAGAACCAGCGCTGCAGAGGCTGCGGGCAGCTTCACAACCTAGTGCTCAACCGCTGCGCCACCGGGGAGGCCTTGTGGTAGGTTTTGACCGTTGTTGTGGGCTAACGCAGCTTGGGTGGGCTTTTACCCACAAGGGGTTGGGTGACTTTGGGTGGTTGATTTAGAAATTATGTTGTTTTCCTGTATGGTTTGCTAGTTGTGTTAAAGTTACTTCTCACTGAAGTCTCATTTGTTTTGTGTTGATGCGGCGATGGCAGAACCTATTTAGGGCAGGCAGGTTTGTGGTGTGTGGGGTGCCCCTCTGAATGTCCTCTAACAGTGTCACTACAGACACATACAGACAGTCACATCAAATTAACACAGTGTAAATTTTAAAGTCACACGTTACACTATTATGAGTAAGGAAACGATATAATTGCTAATAAAGTCTCGTTTATTAGGAAACAGCCTATAGCTGTTCAGTAGTTTCAGACCGTAGTGGTATACGCAATTTACTTTCAGTAGACTCTTAAGACTTTGTCCATGTGCCCATGTGACTCCTGCGTGTTCAATCCAGATGTCGATCAGCCACTTTGGGCTCCTAAGCTTCCTACTGTAAGCTACCAGGGAGGTGCGGAAGGTAGAGGTAAATGGGGAAGGAAGGGGTGGGGCGTGGAGGGGTAATCTGTGGGCTACGCATGCGCTTTGGGAGGAGGGTGGGGCGACAGTTGGTGGTGGGAGGAGGAGCAGGCCGTTTTCCGGCGGAAATCGTACGTATAGCATTGTCTCATACTATAGAAACTCGCAGATCTCGTTTGAGTTTACTCGCGATATTGGCTACCTCACATGGCTGGAAATTACTTTGTTCTCTATGTGTTGTAACAAGAGTACGAGTTGCCTCGCCGCCGCCACCACTGAAGGACTTAGGGGAATTTGAAAGGTCGAGGCCGGTCGCCGCCATGCCCAAGAATAAAGGTACTGCTTCCCGGGACCCCGGAATCATGGCTCCGCTTCGCTTGCGGCCGGGCGATCCGAACACGGTTCGGTTTCGAGAGCGGAGCCGGGAAATTAGTCTGCTCTCCAACATGGCACATTGGGGTGGCGCGGACGCCATTTTTTTTACGGCCTCCTGCGAGACAATGTGGGCTCCGTGTCAGGCGTGGGGGGAGACCTCTCCGGGGCTTCTCAGACTTAGCAATTTGGACGCATTTTACCTTTTCGAGTTAGGGGAGTTACGCTGCTTTGAAAGTTAATTTTCAAACGGTGCTGCCCGTTTTAGTGACCCTGTTCTTAGTGTTTACATTCCCCTTTGATAAAACTACAACGGAAACTTCGATACATATTTACGGTTAGCTTTGTGTATTTTTTTCCTCGCTCTTCACAAGCCGTTCTCTCCAGAGGATCATCACTGTTTACCTTTCAGTCCCACTTTGTTAGTAACTAAGAAATACAATTTTTCGTCACTTTCCACCAAACAACTGGGCCACTCCAGTAGACAATTATCACCTTATTTTCAAGCCACCAGATTTCACTTTTCCTCATTACCCAGGAGTCTAAATGGAAACGTATGTCTATATCTTTAATACCATTAAACTTATTTCTTTGCATTTCAGTAGGGGCCCTAAAATACTTTCTTAATACTAACTGTCTGACTCTCACAGGTAAATCCACAACACATATAATTTCTTCAAGGAAGACATGACTTTTCAGTTTAGTTTTTAGAAATTTACCATGACAAAGTATTAGAATAACTTATTGTTTTGTTGTGTCCTAATTTTCAGTCTCATATTATTAAATATTTATTTATTTATTTATACAAGCACTGGGTACAGTCAGAAGCGCGGGAGGGTGAGAGAATTCACCAGAGCCAGAGCGGGGAGCAGAGCAGGCAGAAGGACCGAAGTACACTGCTGAGGGGAGCAGCGGGCGGCAGGAGAGGTCTGCGCGCCTCCTCCGGTGGCCGGGGAGCAGCCGGGGATCGAACCGGCGCTGCAGAGGCTGCGGGCAGCTTCGCAACCCAGTGGTCAACCGCTGCGCCACCGGGGAGGCCCTTCAGTCTCATTCTTTAATCAAGTTAATACAGATTATAATAAATGATACTAAAATGTGGTACCATTAGGATATAGCTAATTCTGGTAGATTAACAGCAAATGGTTTTTATACTTGAGACAAACCAAAAAGTGCAAGTAGTGCAATAAACTGAATTTAAGACACATGTGTACCTCTCTTAAATCAGTCTTTCTCTCTCAAACTTGTCTTTCTTTGTAGAAATAATTCCCATTCTTAATTCGTTGCGCTCACTGCCATGTATGCAAAAACCAAAAGTTTACTTTCTAGATTACTTGCAACTTTTTAACACTCTTCAACTTTAAGAACTGAGATTTACTGGGCAAATATCACTTTCATTTTTCTCAAAAATTTCCGTGTAGTGTTTGGTAAGGATTCAAATAAGGATAACTGATAACTTATGCCATATGTCAAGTAAGTTGCTTTTTGCTCTTTCTAATTCAGTTTCAGATTTCCTTTGTAAATTTTAGAATCCATCCTCATCAGAAAAAAGTTCCTGTCTGCATACTAAAGCGCATATTTGGGACGATATACTTCTACACTTTAAGGATACTGTTGTCTGTAATTTTAAAATTACCTTTTCTTTAGAAAGCTATAGGTGTCATTCTTGGATCATTCACTTGAAAAACTGCCAACTCTGATCTGTAACTGACAGTCAGCAGGGATGATTCTTCTGATAGAATTTATAGTTTATAAACATATGAACTTCTGGCATAATTAATTGCTTTATACTGGTAGGAAACAGAGACCATATTTCTAGAAAATTAGTTTACATATGTTCTAAGAATTCATAAGATGGTAATTCAGGTGAATCAAGAAATTGTAGAAGCCCACCTATCTTTTATAATACCATAGAGTGATGTGAGACTGCCTTGAGGTGGAGGACGCTTTCAAGAAAACAGATGTCTGTTTTTGTAGTGGCTAGCTGTACCTTTTTAATTATATTTCAGATAAGGACTTTTCAAACTTTTCTCACCGTTTCCTTACTACTACCACTTGTTTTGTTTCTCCTAGTTAAAGAAAGGACTGCTCTTGTATCTAGGCTCTGATTGGGAACATCTTGCTGTATAGAAAAGTACAATTCCTTAAATATGTAATAGAAGTTCTCAAAAAGAGATAAAGCTAGTATGTTATCAGTGAAAACTCAATAAATGCAGTTTCAAATTGTTAGTATGGTAAATTATGACAGATAGTTTCCTTTTTTATTGATGGAGTGTAAATTACATAGCTTATCAAAAACTTAAATAAGTGGACATAACACCTCTTATAGAAATTGGATTCCTTAAATTTATTCTCTGGAAATTGTGATTTCAGTGCAGCATTGTTTGCTAAGAGTGAATCATTAGAAATAACCAAATATAAGAATCTTAATGTATTCCAATTATTAAAAAGGTAATCTGAGTATATGATTATTGACAGAAAGAGACATTTTAGTCAAATTTTTGGAAGGTGTTAAATTATAGATGAGATTCATGGGAATCGTATTTTTGTTTGGACAGTATAGACAGTAAAATGCTAATAGATATCATTAGTAGGGAAATATTTTTCCTTTTTTTGTCATAAAAATGCAAATACACTGTCAAAGGAGGACAAGAGGTTAATAATGTTAATTTGGTAATACGCTAAAAGGGAAATTTTGCCAAATTATATACATGATGAGGTAGCAAATTGGGTAAATTAAATTTTTAAAATATAAATTAAAGCGTCTATAATGTTCTAATGGTATTTATCACTTTTTTCTGTAATTGATTTTATAAACAAATGAGTCTCAGTCTGTTTAGTTTGTAATATTTTTGCATGTATGGTTTTTTAATTTTTGTATTTTCAATTAGGTAAAGGAGGTAAAAATAGGCGCAGGGGTAAGAATGAGAATGAATCTGAGAAAAGAGAATTGGTGTTTAAAGAGGATGGGCAAGGTAAAACTTTTTTTTTTTAATATGAATTTCAGTTTTTAATATGAAAGATAATAGTCATAATTTTGAGCAGTTATCTCCAAGATTCTGATTTATTTTTTTCCTCATTTCAAATCCCCCAAACTTACAGTTTGTCTTTTAAATAACTATTGATAATACTGTCTGTGTCTGAGCGTATATGTTTTATGTTTGTATATGTATGGGGGTGGGAGAGAGAGGATTTATTGATGATATTTCTGGAAACCTAGGTTTCATTGTTTTGTAGGAGGAGCGTGATGTAACTGAGTGAATTTTAAGCTTAGAGCAATTTAAGTGTCATGAAAATTTCATACTCTGGTGTAGTGGTTAGTATTGTTAGGTTATTTAGGAGAATGTGAATGTATAGAATAAATTTTGAGAATTTGATTCTCCAATGTCACTACCTACAGTGTAGTAAGTTAAAATAAAAATGTAACTGAAAGGATCTATAGAAATTGCATAATATGTGGAGTATGTGTCACCTTGAAAGCCTCTTTAGGGTACAGTATTAACTCTTATTACTAATTGAGACTTTCTTTAGAAACAAATTATAGTTTTGATTTTGCAGTAAAAAGAAGTTACAAACACCTTGCTGTTAATTTCATTTATCTTTTAAGAAAAACTGAACAATATCATACTCTTAATTTCTCCCCCTCAGAGTATGCTCAGGTAATAAAAATGTTGGGAAATGGACGATTAGAAGCAATGTGTTTTGATGGTGTAAAGAGATTGTGTCATATCAGAGGAAAATTAAGGAAAAAGGTAGGTCTGATTTGTTTACTTCAATATAAAGTTTCCTTTTTAAAGAAGTCTCTTTTCTAGCAATTCATTGTTGTTCGTTCCTAGTGTACTGTAACTACATTTAACTAGATATAGTCTAGTTATGCAATGAAAAAAAAGTACCGAAATTTTGTGGGAAAAATGGTTTTTATGGTGCTCTTCATTATGTTAATTTAATTTTCATGTAATATGCAGATTCTTTTTTTTCTGTAGGTTTGGATAAATACGTCAGACATTATATTGGTTGGTTTACGAGATTACCAGGTAACAATTGCATACTCTTAAATTTGTACCTTTTTCTTGCATTTAGCATTTAATAAGTCATTAATGTTTAGAACATAAAATATTTGACCAATTCTAGCCTATTCTGCCTCCTGTTAATCAGTGTTTATTATGGGTCAGTTGTCATTGAGATTATGTTTTTCCTAATTTACACAGTTATTTGATGATACATATATTTTATGGGTATGTTTTTACAGGTTTGGATAAATACCATAGCCCATTCTGTCCTCATTCATCTTAAGGCCACTTATATTATAGGCATTGTGCTAGGTATTCCAGACTGTCTCATTCCCGAATACCAGTTTGTAAAGTATTATTGGAGGCTGATATTTTCACTGTTCTGTGGTGAAATGAGAAGATATCCAGGTATTGTATATTTCATGAAGCAAAATCGATGTCCTTTAAACTTTTTGTTCTAAAGTAAAAGTAATTGTGATCTTATTAGTGTTCAGGCTTGACAAAACAAAAATTTGTTATAATATCATGAATTATTATTTTCATTTTTAAATTTAAAGTTCTCAAAATCCAGTCCAGGAAACCACTATTGCAAGGAATACAGTTGAATAAGACAAGCTTTCCTGTATCCAGAAGATTGATAGATTGATACTGGAAGGATAAGAATGAGATGCACATTGTAACTTACTACTTTTATTTATTTGAACTCATCACCATGTGGTTAATTACATTGTCAGTGAAAAAAATATGGCTAATTTTATTGTTATTATAAAGTTTTTTATAGATATATTAGGTCTTGCAGGCTTACATTTCAGTTTTCTGAAATTTTTTTTCTCTCAGTTTAATGTATCTTAACAGCTAACTACTGAAGCAGCACACAAAATATAACCTGTTGAAAAACATGTGTCTGCATGTAGGACAACTCAGAAAAGTACAGTGAATGAATGAAATCTATAATAAAAACGTTACAAACATGATTTATTTGCTAGCGGTAAGAATTGGCTTGTTTTAGAGAAATCCAGATGTTAGGATTGTCCAAAAATATTTAATAGGTTATTTATAATTTTGAACTGTTGGTAATTGCTCTCTGAAACATTTTGACCTACACTTTATGCTTTATGTTCCCACATTTATATTATAAATTTATACACAAATGAAAATGGAAAAACTGGCAAAGTCTGCTCTCTGTCCCATTTTTCCACTTGCAGTCACACACTTAGATAGCATTTTACCCCCCATGGCGGGGGAGGAAGCTAATTCAGAACTGCCAATGACAGAAAGAAGAGAATTACTACTTTTTTTTTTTTTTGGCAAATGAAAGCAGCTTCTCCCAACAGGTGCAAGAAAGGAAGTGTTCAAATCAAAAGTTCAGTGACTTTTTGATAATGTGTAATTTCATGAAAGGTCACAGTACCAGGCCTGTAACAGTGGATACTTTTTGCCCCTGGGTGTAGAGAGAGCACTCTTGTAATTGGCTTCTGAAGCCATTGTGTGTTTTTTTTTTCTCCCCCAAAGATTCATTTATTCATATAAGAACTGGGGTACAGTCAGAGGCGCGGGAGGGTGAGAGAATTCACCAGAGACAGTGGGGAACAGAACAGGCAGACTGATGAAATACACTGCTGAGGGGAGCATCGGATGAGGCAGGAGAGGTCTGCTGTGCCATGTGGGTTTCTCCGGAATCAAACCCACATTGAAGAGGCTGTGGGCAGCTTCACAGCACGGCGCTTAACCTGCTGCACCACCAGGGAGGCCCTGAAGCTGTTGCTTTTTAAGTGCTACAATATTGGCTGACTTGTGGGCAGTTGGCTTTGTGTTAGCCATGGTATGAGGACAATTTTACTTAGCCCATTCTCCCTTGCTCCTTGAACACTCCTTACTTAGCTTTCATGTAATGTGTTCATTAATTGAATGTGGCATATTGAAGTCAGTTATTTTTTCATCTCTAGAATTTTTCACTTTTTTTAAAAAAATGATTTTTCTCTATTGAGGCGTGCTTATTTGCTGACGTATTTATACATGCTTTCTTTTAGATATTTAAACTTAAGAGTAGCAGATATACAATCTTGGAAAAGTCCTACTTCTGGGCTTTGTTAGGAACAAAAAAAAAAAAACCAAAAAAATTTTATTGACTTTTGTTTCATATGTACATACCACACTTAATATTCCTTTGTCTCTTTTGTTGTTCAAAACTAGAAATTTCAGCTATAATATGGCAAGTCTGGCAATCAGATTCTTGTTTCTAGAACTTACTCTTGTTGCTTGTTTGATTTTTCTGAACTGTTACTGTGTAATTTGTAATTATTATTTCTTTGTAGTAATGGATCAGTTGCTTAGCTTAGTGGACATTTCATATTTGGGCTGAGATTTCTTTAAAACCAGTGAACTTTTCATGTTTTGCATGTTAGTGAATATCTGAAATACTCAGAGGCAGTTAACAAATCTGCCTTTTGTCTTCATTTTATGGTTTTGCAGTATCTTAAGTTAGAGCTGGGAGTTTAGGTCCTGCCCAGGTCTTTCATATAGAAACATGTGCAGACCAAGGTATTTATGTGGTGTTTCAGATTCTTAGTAATCTTTTGGACTTTTCAAATGCATGTACATCTCATTTGGCAACTTTATTTTTGATTTTTTGGTCTTGTTTGTGCTAGCTGTTAAGTCATTTGAAGTTATTGGTGCTTTTATCATACCCATTTAGAATGCTTGGTCAGTTGTATTTTTTTATCTATGCATTCAGTTTTTCTAATGCCATTTATTAAAGAGACTTTATTCTCAATTGCGTGTTCTTGTTTCCTTGCCAAATACTAGTTAACTGTAGGTAGGATGATTTATTTCTGGGCTCTCAGTTCTGATCCATTAGTGTATGTGAGTGTAATTAGCATACCATGTTTTGATTATTACAATTTTGTAATGTAGCTGAAATCTGGATGCTTCCAGTTGTGTTCTTTTCTGATTGTTTTGGCTGTTCAGGTCCTTTGCAGTTCCCGTATGAATTTTGGTTTTTTTTAATATTTCATTGAAAAATGATTGGAGTTTTTAATAGGAATTACATTGAATCTGTAGATTGTTTGGGTTACTATTTTCATTTTAACAATAGTAATTACTC